GAGGTACCTGGCCAGGTGTCTTTGCTGATTGATTATCTATCTGTCTAATCTAATCTAATCTAAAATCAGTTTTAAGATACCTTACAAGGTAACCTCCCTGCTCAGGTTACTTCCTAAGTAAGGTTCAGGGTTTCCCAGCAAAGGAGCTGCAGGCCTTGCGGTAGGACGGCCCTCTTGTCCCACAAGCGGTACCTTGAATCTCATACCTTTCTCTCTCTGTGTGTGTAGGTATGTAACTAACTATATAACACAACTCTTATACACACACACACACACAAACTATATATATAGTGTATCATAATTGTATTCTTACTTCATATATACTGTATGTGTGTGCCCAGAGACCTTTGGGTAGTGTGGGTGGCATATAAATTAAATAAATAATAATAATAATATTCAAAATACAGCTTGTGGGACGGGGCAGTCAGAGAGAGACAGTTCCTATCTATATATATAGGAACAGCATAGATACGTATATGTTTTGCTGTTGAGGTCCACCAGAGAAAAGTAGGTTCATAGCTGGGCAATCTTTCTATGGAGATGAAGCAAAATGCCACAAAAAGAGCAGGGTTTCTGGATACATTGAAAACTTGCATTCTTTTTGATTGGTCCTAACAAAGATATTGACCAGCTGTGGATTTGGGTTCTCGCCCCCAATAGGAGGATGGTAGGTGATTGTTTTCCCCTCTGAAGGGATGTGTAAAGAAAGAAAAATAGGGTGGAAAGTCTTGAGCATCTAATTTAGATTATTCCAGAGATCATCTTGTTACTTAAAATCATACATTCAGGATTTTCCCAACTGTTAAAAAAACTATGCAGTGTTCCTTCTTTTACATAATTATATATCATTACATGAGTGTTATGCGCTGCCAAGTTACATCTGACCTGCGGTGACCCTAATAGGTATATGAGGTATTTAAGAAGTTATTTTTCCAATCTCCACCCTGTGGGTTGAGGGGGAATTTGAACCCAGGTTTTTCGAGTCCCAGCCCATCATCACTCTAGCCAGTACACCAAGGAGCCTTGTTCTATTCCTTCTGTTACCCTTCCTCGCATTTAGATGATATTTCTACATTACAGCATGATTTGTACTCGCCGTTTCTTAATATGATGATCTTTCAAGGCTCTTGGCTGCTGATGGGCAGATATAGAGAGGCTTTCTTCTTCAAAATATGCCCCATCTGCTTCGTAGACCAGAGAGCAGGGGTGAGAAGAAGCTTGTTCCCCATCCGAAGTTGGGGGGGGCTACGACTCATGAGGGTGTCACTCTGGTGACACACCTGGGGGGGCACAAGTGGCCACCTCTGATTATGAGGTTCTCACTCCCAGCAGCCAGAGTTGTGGAGAGCCTTCTGCTCCTTTGCAATGGAACCGTGAGCCCACCTACCTTACTACAAAATTGCTTATTATTTATTTACTTTAATTTGTTTTAAAAAATTGAATAACATAGGCTAGAACGGTTTATGATGCTTTGTTGAAGCTTATGATGGCAGCCTAGGATATGAAGTGGGTTCTCTGAGCTGAGGCGTCTGCTCTGATTCATGTAGAAGTATTTCTCCTTTAATTTTTTTTTTGCCCTTCATAAGAAGTTCTAGGTAAAGGCCAGACACTTCTTCCAGGCGCCTGTTTAAGTCTCTCATCAATGAGTGTTGGTTTAAAACATTTAAAATGTCTTCCCTCGCCGCTAGCTGGAGGCAGTTTATGCCAGAATGTATTAAAGTATGTAGAGTGATTTAAAAAGATTAATTAATCTGGTAGCTGGAAGTTCATCCTAATAACAAAAAAATCTCATCTTTCTCAAATGTCAGGTCATTTAGAAAGACATTGTATCTTGTAGCCTTTTCTTTTTTCATTTCCCCACCCACACCCACGCCCAGGTTTAGAAATTTCAGGATCTCTTTCTCCCCTCCACTTTAAAAAAAGAGAGGAATAAAATGGTGGGATCCTCTTACCCACACCCACCCCGGGTCATTCTTAGTGCCCTCTCACATTCCTTTTGTGTTTGC